CCCCAAAACCCCAAAACCCCAAAACCCCAAAATTTTAATAATTAAGCAAATATGGAATCAAAGGAGCTACTAATCGTGAAACCTTCTCAGATTAGGATCAAGAAGAGGAAAACTTACAAGAATAAAAAGAACAAGAGTCCTGAAATATTAGAGGTTCTCTGAGACGACGAGGATATTGATAATAGTGAGTCTGAGTCATTTGGCAAACTTACAACTAGCTTTGTTATTACTATTTGCACAGTATAACTTACCACTTTAGATTCTGAATGAAAAAGCCAGAAGATTTCTCCAAAGATAGGGACTGATATTGCTAAGTCTCCTCAGGATAAGGATCAAAGGCCCACTTCTCTTGATAGGGATAATCCTGATGTTTCATACTCTATGGATGCTTTGGATAATTTTCATTATCAAGAAGAAAGCCAGCAAAATCCTCAAACGGAGTATAAAGATAGGTATTTGTGGCCACCAGCCGAAGCCTATGAAAGGCATGATACTTCAAATGAAGCTGACGATAGCTTTAATGGTAGGTAGACTTTGTAACTAAAAAGAAGAGTCATATTTCTCCGATCCAAAAGATCCTCAAATCCTCTAATAAAGACCCAACTCCACATTTTGGAGTTGAAGAAACTAAAGATCAACAGTAAATTCTAACTTTATTAATTAGCGATGGAAGCTCACTGATGTGGGCAACTAACCCTCAGAGTAGGAAGAACAAGATGGTACCGGGACCAGACTCTCCTGAGAATACATATGCTGATTATGAAAGCAACCAGCATGGTGGTAAAGGTAAAATAAACAAAAATTGACATGTGTCAAGAAAGACTGTTAATAAGAAAATCCTAAGAGGGAAGGAAGACAGGCCCCAGACAAGAACTGGACAGTGGATTAAGACTCTTTCGGCGACTAAGGAAAATCCAATAAAGCTTGCTGATCTAAAGCAGAAGGAAACTACTAATAGACTGCCTTCTGCTAAGAAAACTCAAATGAAGAAGATCTTGGATAAAAGAAATCTAACACAGGAATCATACTACAGAAAAACTGGAACAAACTTTAGTCATGGCAATTTGAAGCAGAAAGAACAAGAAGCTAATGATACACTCAATGATGTAGACCAGACCACTGAGAAGTTCGGCAAGGTATTTTAACTGATAACTACCACAGCAGTCTTTGTATAATCAAGACTTTATTGACCAGAGAGAAGACACTTTTGGGAAGAAGAATTCTTTAAGTGCCAATATCTCTAAATAACCTTCCAAATGCTATGAAGAAGGTTACGAATACTAAGCCAAGAAATTAAAAAATTGCCCAGCTTAGACTTAGAAAAATCTGCGGGAGTTCTCCAAAGGAACCAAGATTCTTTAGTTAAGGATAAATCTCAGGCCAGAAAGGCAAGATCTCCTTCTCAGATAAAAAGCCCTCCTGTGCAGGAGAGAAACTTATCTCCCAAGAAGAAGAAATCTCTACTCAAAATGATAGAAGAACTAAAAGAAGCTGTAATTAACAATAAATTCCAAAAGGAGCACATTAAGGAGCCAGTGCAACAAACCATGCCGAGGCCTCGAAGGATTAGTAATCATAGACCTTATTTTTAGGAACAAGTCAGGAACCCCGTGATGCAGTTGTAGTTTATAAAAACTGAGACTTGCAGTCTGTCATCAGTCATCTCAATGAACAGATTGCTGAAGGAGATGACAATATTGACCAAAGAAGGCATATTATTCTCAAGACGCAGCTGGATTCTTTAATAACTAAAAACAATGCCTTGCTAGAGACTAATAAAAAGCAAAGAAAATGCATGCTAGAAGCATTGAAGTGTCTGAGTGATGCTGAAAAATATCTTAAAGAATGGGAACTTACTGCCCCTAAAAATGCAGAAGATTCTGACGAGCCTTCTCATGACATTGTGTATGCTCTGAATATCACATCATGCAAAAAGAGGCTTGAAAACATTCTTAAAGAAGAAAGAAGAAACTACACATTATCAAATTTTAGCCGCAATCCTCTGTATCCTTTGGATAATGTGGAAGATTCTAGCTTTAAAATTGATGAGAAAGAAAAGAAACTCAGCCTTAAAATTGATCGTTGAATGTTATTCAATTTAGAAGAAAAACTGTCTGACATCCTGAAAAAATCTCTTGAAATGTACAAGAACAACATCATTGACAAGAAGCCTTTCGAGAAAGTCAAAGTGCTCAAATTCTCAGAAGGCTTGAGGGACTGAATTAACAACCTGATTACCACAGGAGTCGGAATCAGAGACAGAGATTGCAGAGAGTCAGGAGCGAGTCCATTCCAGCAGTGGGATGATTATGTAGAGTCTAATCTTTATCTAAAAGTTAATCCTACTCGTTTCAGAAGAGCCGAAGAGTCTGTCTACCTCAATGATAAGCTTGCTGAAAGTTTATGGTAAACATTCTTACATTACCATTCTAGGGATATTGCTCAATGGAGTAACACCAAACAACAAAGGAAAGAAAAAGAATTCTTAGAGGTAATAAACCAAATCAAGCAAACAGAAAGAGCTGATAAAGCAAAAGCTAAAATCTATGAGGACCAAATCAGACTGTTCAAAGTTTGTTTCAGCGAGCTCTATGATGAAATAGAAATTTTGAAGAGGAATGCAAAAACTGACATCAATGAGATTTTCAGCAAAATAGAGCATCAGCTCAATGAAAGCTTCATTGACCTAGAGAACATTCTTGAGAAGTGAAGAACTAATGAAGCCAACAATGCTGAGGTTGACTATACTGAACTTTATGCGATATTTATTAGTTTACAACCCAACATGAGGGAGGCTTTTGACTGCATTCTGAAGGACAAAGATAAAAACTATCAAAATATCTTTGGTGTTAATTCAAAAATCCAAAAGTTACTGGCTCATGAGTATTTTAACTTATAGATTCAATTTATACACAAATCAGAGGGGTTTTGGGGTTTTGGGGTTTTGGGGTTTTGGGG